CGACACGTCGAGCGAAACTGTTTGGACGATGTTTTGGGCTCGCGATGAGTTTCACTTAAAAAGCTCTAAGACTAAAAATAGTGGCCGTCGGCGCGTCGTAGGGTAGCGCGTTGCGCCCGTTCGGCAGGCCTTCAAGCAGCACAGCGACCAGACCAGCCGGCCGTTGGAGTTCGAGTGGCCGGCCAGTCCCTGTGGGGGTCGGCTGGCTGGGCAGGAACCGCTCGCCTCGACCCATTCGAGGGCGATTAGAGAGCCCCATTCGCTGCCGCACTGAAACGCTGCTCTTGTCGGATTTTCACCCCTGTCTGAGGCTGCTTATGGGGGGCCTCTCCAAGCAACACCACCCTTGCGGAGGGTAAACAACTCGTTGGACTAGAAGGTCCAAACTGTAAAATAACATTTAAATAGGCTGCGTCAGGTGATGGCGAAGGAAGAGAGATTTACGCCCTTTCTAAAGCGAAGCAAAGTCCGGCTCTAACTTACGGAATCATCCAGAAAGTACGTCCGCCATTCGCCTGTACCGGGTGTAACTGTGAATGCACAGCAGTGTTGCGGGAATGCATACCCGCCAATGCTGCAGGGGCCATGGCGCCTTACGGGCAAATTGGTTAGGCAAACCCGCAACCCGCAACACTGCTGCGCATTCACAGTCACACCCGGTACGACATTGCCACTAGTTCAGCCGATGCAAGCTCTCGAAGCGCCCGGTAGGTAGGCAACATCTTGCCTGCAGTGCATGCGTGCACAGCGGGGTGGCCTACCCCGAGTCTCGCAGGCGCCGAGCCCCGCATTATTTGCCGAATAATTCTGAGGAGAGACGGACGTACTTTCTGGACGATCCCTTATAATTCAAAGTCATTTTGAGTCCGGACTTTTTCTTTCTTTTTTCAGATCCGGGTGGCCGTGGCATGTGGCATCATTTTGTATTTATTTTTGTAGAGCACCGGCCCGGCGCGGACTCTTGTAAGCGATACATTATGCCTAACGAAAGGGCGGAGCATGAAACAGTCCGCCTGTGACAAGTCTCGCTATGGGCGGGTGCTGGTGCAGGGCGACCGGTCGTGGTCACGCCGTGGTCACGCCGTGGTCACGGGTGTGCGTGAGCCCGCACTGGACCGGCACACGGCCCTGCGTATAAATAGCGCGCTTTCTCGAGTAGCGGCCGTGCGGGTAACACGTGCGGCGCCCGTCGTGTGGGTCATGCTGATCACGATGGCATCGATCATCTCAGCCGGGCGTCCCCCCCGAGCGATTGCGGCGAGATACGCCATGGCTCACGGTGGTGCGGCCGGAGATGAGGTCGTCCCCAGCTGCCGCCCCAGCTGCTGCCCCAGCTAACGCACCTGCCCCGCAGGGCCGGACCTGCTGGCACGGGACGGGTAGTGTGTATGGTCCGTCCGCATCGATAGCGCCGGGGATGGGATATGGGGAGTGGCGTCTCCAGGGGGCTCGCTAGTCCACGCTGCACGCTGCATCCCAAAGCATCTGTCGCCAACCACCCCGGCATGGCCTGGCTGGTGTCAGCTATATTCCTGTGGGATGACTTGCAACCAGAAGAAAAAATCTGGCGCAACGTGATTTTTTTGTTTTTTGATGTGAGTCTGAACCTTTGGGTTCACACCCATATTGGACCATCTCCCAAGATCTTCCACTCTCCAAAAGCACTTTATTAAGTAGACCGAATTCTAAAGTATTCCAGTTCGACGGGGGACGTGGCCTTCCTTTAGGTAAATGTTTCCAAACTCGCTCCTGGTGTCAACTTGAAAAAGGAAACCCGAGGGACACCCCGGGCGCTCAGGGTGCGCTGGGGCGAGGCGGGCTCGGCGCTCGGGCCGCTCAATCAGCCAGTCAGCCGACTTAAGCAGGCTGGACTGAAAGCAAGTAAGGATTCAAATCAGGGTTTGAGCCGACGGCAGTGCTCGGGCGTCCCCGACCCTGACCTGCGCTAAAGCCGAGGGCCGTGCCTGGCCGGGCTGTGTGCGGTGCTCCTTATCCGCCAGCCTGGGGGCCCGGGGCCCACGCCCGTGGACTTCGGCCCCGTCCCCCCTCCTCCTCATCCCCGCCGAAATGTCACAACCGACGCGACACCATACCGCGTGGTCTCGCCTCGCGCCCGGCCCCTTTAGCTGCATGCATGCTGGTGTACTGGCGTACTCGAACATCCGCATGGCACCCAACACTCGGCGGGCTTTGCGGCCTGCTCCCCGGCGGCTTCCCACGGGACACGACCTGCCCCTGTCCGCGGCCGCCTCGGCTCGTCCCGGCGCCCGGCCCCGCCCGGCGAATCACGCACCCCACCCACGCACCCACCACCCACACCACCACCACCACCACCACCACCATCACCACCCACGCGCCGGCAGGACGGGGGAAGGGGCATAGCGGGGAGGCGCACGGGGAGCGGTGGCGCGGCGGGGCGGGGCGGGGCGGGGCGCGGCGTGGCACGCGGAGCGCGAGGCGAGGTGGCGCGCTGAGTGTGTAATGCAGGCAGGAACGGCAACGCTGTGTCGCTAATGCCGTGTTTAGTCCTGGCGGTCCTGTATACCGACGGTCCTGGCCGAGCCAGCAGCAGGCCGCGCTCACGGTGAGCTTGAACTGCGAGCGGAACGCGCCGGGCCGTGTCGTGCCGTGCAGGCCAGCTGACCAGCGTCAGGACCGGCCCGCCACGTCTTTCGGCCCGTCCCGCGCCGCGCCGGTCCCGCCCAGCCGGCTGTGCGCCACTCTGTGCCACTCCGCGCCACGGTCGCATTCATACGGCTGCTCGGGGCCCCCGGCCGGGGCCCACCTCACCGACAGGCTCGCCGGCAGGGCGGCAGGGCACCCAGCGCCCCGCTGCTCCACTCCGCGGAGTTGCTATGACAGCAGAACATCTGGCAGGGCGCTGCGCTGCGCTCGGCCCCTCAGCGCCACGCCACGCCACGCCGCGGTGCCGTGTCGTCTGCTAGCCGGTGCGACCGAGCCGCCGCCACCGCGCCGCCTGACGATGCCGCTACGCGGGGCCTTCCTGGCCGCGCCCCGTCCGCTGTAAACACGCTCCCCTTCCTGCAGGTCCTGGGCGAGGATACTCACTTCCCGATCACCTCGCAAAGCTCGTACACGTCGTCGAACAGCACCTCGTCCTCCGCCATGGCTGTCGTGTCACTTGTCGCTCTCACTGGCACGCTGTCACTCGCGGCGGGTCGCGGCGGGTCGCGGCGGGACGGGCCGAGCCTCGCTCGGGCCCCGGGTGGGCGTGTCGCGCGCGTGTCGACGGCACCGCGTGCGCGTGCGTGCTGGCGTGAGTGCGCGCGCCCCGGCACCGTGCGTCCGGGACGATCCTCGGACCTGACGGGGCGCTCAGCGCCTCGCTCAGCGCGCACCTGCCCCTTCGGGTGCAGGCTGCAGACTCTGCAGTGCAGAGCCTTGTTCATGTGCTCGCCGTAGGGCGCGGGCGCAGGGCGCGGGCCTAGTCCGTGTGGCTGAGCTCGGCGGGCCGGCTGGCGCGGCGGAGTGCTGCCGAGCAAGCAGACAACTGAACTCGCTGCGCTGGTGCTGGTGCGCTCCGCCTGCTCTAGAGCCTGCTCCGCCCGGCCACGCCTGGCTCTGCTGGGGGCCGCCAGCGCCATGGCAGCACCGCCACCCCTCTCCTCCCCCCGCGCTCGCCGCTCGCCGCTCTCCTCGCGAGGCCTTCCCCCTCCTCCCCCGCCGCGGCCGGCGGGCCGCAGGACGCAGCGGGCGTAGCGGGCCGGAGCGTCGCTGCCGCGGTGGTCGCGGTGGGTGGGGCAGTAGCACAGCAACATGGCGGTTCCGCGCGGAGCTCGCCGAACAGCTCGCCCGATTGATCCGCCGCGCTCGGCGCGACTCGGCTCGACTCGGAAGGAGTTCGGCTGTCGTCGGCCTGCGTCGGCCGCGTCGGCCCCTCCGCGAGCTAGACGCCGGGAGGGCCGAGCGGGTCGCCAGGTTCTAGCCCCGGCCCGGGCCCGTGGACCGCTAGGCCCCAGGCTCAGCGTGTTCGGTTAGGCCCTTCCAGCTCCAGCCAGGCTAGCCCGGCCCCGGCACAAACTCGTAGAACAGCCACGGGCGGCGGCCAGCGAGGCGATCTGCCCGGACGGAACTCCTTTCGCATTCCTGGAGTGCCCCACTCCTTCCCCCACGAGGGACTGCCAGGCATATCGTCGGGGGCTCAGTCTTCGTTCTCCGCTTGCCCAAGCAGGCCATTTTTGGGCTCTGCACGACAAGCTCCCAGCGGAGCCCCTAGTTGACGATCCTTGATTCCAGGATTGATTCTTTGTCAGTTTTGCCGAGGAGTCGTATTACTAGAAGATATACTGAAATGGGGCTGGTGTTTTAACTACACTGCCAAACTCTGACACCCATTCGCAAGGCCAAATAGTTTGTGAGGACACAGAGGCCGCCAAGCAGGTGAGCATCTGAGCCACTGCGTATCTTAAGCATGCGTTGGTGTTAAAATTGGGTTTTGCTAGCATTTGCTGACATTGGGTTTTGCTGGCATTTGCTGACATTTGGGTTAACACCTTCTTAGCACCGTAGACTTATTAAGCTCGGCGTGCTGTACGAGGTGTCCTCTGTCCCATAGACCCCGTACTTTCAAATTCTACTGTACCGCATGCAGGCTTGAGGGCGTGTGCTTGCCTATTGCCTACCGTCGCTCGCCGTGGTGCCTTATGGCGCCTAGCGAGTAGGCAATCACGTAAATGCGGTATAGCATAAGTCTCCACCCCCCACCCCTCAAAAAAAGTACGGAGTAGGCTATGACACCCAGTATTTTTAAAAATATTAATAATGTGCCAATTCAGTCATGTACAGAGATTCAATAGAACTTAAGAAACCTCACAGCCGTTGTATTTTAAAGCTACGATCTTTGCACTAGTTTGTCTTTACTAAATCGTTTCTTACGAAGGACACAAAAAAACATGTAAAAACTCAGTTCTCAGGAAGCGTGTGTCTTCAAACATAACGCCGTAGCACTAATACCAACCAAACAATTAATTGTTAGGTTGGCTGCAATTTCCAGCGCGTAAACTTAGGGCGAGGTTGTTGCACTCTCTAATGTTGAGCTTTGAAACATTATTTTAATTTAATACACGATAATTTCTATTACTGTGCTTAACACTTAACTATATATGTCACAGTCAATGGAAACATTTAACTCTAGTGGACGTAAATGACTTTACCCAAAAGTGGGGATCAGATAAAATAAACTTTGTAGCAGTCAACATTTTCTGTTCATTGTGTACATTGTGTGTATTATGTTTACAGTGGGCTTTAATGAATGATTTTATTTTTAATATCAACTTTTTGAATGTTTTGGGTTGATATTTGTTTTTAGAGGGCTTAAATATTGGACCCTAATACCCCCCACTGAGAGTGCAGTCGAATTTATCGGCAATACCTTAACGTCATAAGAGGTTATGAGTGATCTTGGATAATGTCACCAACATCTCTCCCTCTCAAGAGAACTTCAAAAACACCACAAGGAAATGGAGCAGCTCATAGTGATGAATCTGATGATGGAGTAAGGAAACTGGTCCATGTTGAAGGGATTCGTGATGCCTTAAAATTGATGAGTTGTTTCCTCCACAGAAAATAAAACTAGAAAACTGTCATCGCCTATGTTAATGTTAAACTTTTCACTTTGATTTAGGATGATACATCCAGCGTGGGCAGTAATTCTACCACTGATAACAACTCACGATGCACCACACCAACTGATCGTGTCAGAGGGAAAAAGCTCAAAGGTCGGAAGAAAGCTGCTGTAAAGGTCCCAATGAAGAATCAGTTCAAGTTTACGTAAGTGATTGTAGGAAACTTTGTTTTCTTTTTTTGCATATGTGGCAATCTACCCAATTAATATCTTGTCAATTTCCAGATGTAGTGTTAAGGAAGACCATGGACAGCCTCTTTTTGGAGCACAGTTTAACCACCTCTTAAAGGAAGGGCAGCCACTGATATTCGCATCAGTCGGAAGCAATCGTGTCTCTATTTATGAATGTCCAAAAGAAGGTGGAATAAAACTACTGCAATGTTATGCTGATCCTGATGTATCCTTTGGCTTTTTGGCAAAACTTTCTAGCTCTTTAATTTACCCACTCACATTATTTTGAATTTTTTTTATTTTATCTTAAGTATGCACTTCTTAACTGATCAGAAGCAAGATGAAAATTTCTATACCTGTGCCTGGTCCTATGATGAGGACTCAGGTAGACCACTGCTAGCAGTTGCTGGAGCGAGGGGTATAATACGCATCTTCAATCCCTCAACCATGTCCTGTATACGACACTATGTTGGTAAGTTTCCTACACAATCCTTAAACAGTGTTGACTAATAAAATATTACTGTTTACAATATTTTTTTCTGTTTTAGGGCATGGGCATGCCATAAACGAGTTGAAATTTCACCCACGAGATCCCAATTTGCTGTTATCTGTGTCCAAAGACCATGCACTAAGACTGTGGAATATTAAGACTGATGTTTGCATAGCAATTTTTGGAGGAGTGGAGGGACACAGAGATGAAGTTCTCAGTGGAGTATGTTTCAACTGCCAATTAACCATCCTTTTTCTTACAACACATTCCTTGTCCTAAAACCAAATTTAAATTATCAGGATTTTAATATGCGAGGAGACAAAATTCTTTCATGCGGAATGGATCATTCATTGAAACTTTGGGGTTTGGACAAGGCTGAAATGCAAGAGGCAATCCGCAATTCTTATACATTCAACCCTGCAAGAAGCACACGCCCTTTTGATTCTGTGAAAGAACATTTTCCAGATTTCTCAACAAGAGATATACATCGCAACTATGTAGATTGTGTCCGCTGGCTTGGAGACTTTGTTCTTTCTAAGGTAAATCAATGGGACCATACAGTGTATAGTTTTTACTTTCATTTTCTATACTATATTTTTATTATTTATTTGCCAGTCTTGTGAAAACAGCATAGTTTGCTGGAAACCAGGACGTCTTGAGGATAAAGAATATAAACCAAGTGATACTAATGTTACTATTATTCATCGTTTTGACTACAAAGAATGTGAAATTTGGTTTGTGAGATTTGCAATGGATTTCTGGCAGAAGGTGTGTATTGGTTGATTATGCTTGATTGTTATGTTTCTCCCTCAATAATCTGATCTATAATACATTTTCTTTTAATTTACATATCAGACTCTTGCGTTGGGAAATATGGTTGGAAGAACATTTGTATGGGACTTAGATGTGCCAGATCCTTCATTGGCCAAACCCATTACCCTGTCTCACCCACAGTGCAACACTGCTATCAGACAAACCAGTCTCAGTCGAGATGGGTCTGTTTTGCTCTGTGTTTGTGATGACGGAACAATATGGAGATGGGATAAAGTGAAGTCTGAATAAGGTTTGCCCCGGCATTATCATTGGTTTAAAAACATGAGTTCCTCTATGTACTTTTTCAGCAAGTGTGTCTTTTGTCAAATGAACTGATTTTTTTTTTAAATCCACATCTGTAAAATCTAGTGTTTATCAAATGCCTTATGCATTCATGACCAAGGTAGTTTATACAAGAATAAAAATATTTTAGGAAAGAATTAGTCTGTTATTTATAATTCAGAGTTTGGCTGTATAAATGCAGAATCATTGGGAACAAACGTTAATGAAATAATGTCCCCATCACTCGATGCTATGTGCTGTGCTGCACAGTTCATGTCCACTGTGTGCCTCATACTGCAGTTATCATTAGTTGAGTCAGTCGATGTTATGACATACTCAACTGGTACAACAGGAACTGACACAGCTTGACCAGGTAACAGGGATGATGATATCTGAAAGAGAGGCCCTTCTTGCACCGACAGCCCTGATTGCGCAGACTCTTGGTGAACAACTATAACTTGAACATCATCTGATGTTGGCTCGGCACTGACTAGAGAATTGCACCATCCCTCACCAACAGTTGGCACTTCCAAAGTATTTTTGTCATTTTCTGCCTGAGATGTGCGGGCCCTTGCCATAGCATGCACTTTCATATGTCGTTTTAGTAGATATTTTGATGTGAAACTTTTGGAGCAAGATGCACAAGGATTGGTTTTGGTGTGAACATGCTTCTGATTGTAATGTTTCCTTTGAATAGCTCGTGTCTTGAAAGAAGCAGCGCAGATCTCACAAAGATAACGTCTTTCTTCTTCATGAGTCAATTGATGTTCCTTGAGAGCATTTGTAGATCGGTAGTTTTTCTTACATTGTGGACATGGATAAGCTTTTACATCTGAATCCTGATCAGCATGAGTGGCTTGATGCTGTATCAATGTGTCAGAACGCTTGAAACACAATCCACATATAGTGCACATATACGGTCTCTCATCCCCATGAACACCACCCAAATGTCGGTAGTAATTAGATCGACTTGGTGTCTGATAGGAGCAGTGAGCACACTTAAAGCAGGGTAACTTTTCCTTTCCTTTCTTTGAATGAACAGCCATGTGTCTTTGAAAGTGCTTTTCACTTGTTGTCATGTAGTCACACTGCAAACATTGATAAGAATCTTTAGAACTTGAATCTTCAAGTTGTTTGAGAACATGTTTGTACCTTTGATGTTTTGTGAGCAATTCTTCCGTGTGAGTGCTGTATGTGCACTGAGAGCAAGCAAAAATTTCAGTCTTATGCGTACCAATATGCCTTTGCAAATGGCTTGCTCTGATGGTGCTGAAGTCACATTGGTCACATGAATAAATGGTGCAGACTTTTTCATGAAGTCTAGAGTGATTTCTCATATGACTATGACGTTTAGTTTTGAAGGAACATTGGTTACAGAAATACCTAAAAGGTGCTAGTTCTTCATATTTCTTCTTAAGAAGTTTTTTGCGCTCCAAGTTGTTGCCTGACATACTTTCTAATGTGGAATTTCTTTTTTTCGTGAAACTTTGTTTATTTGTTTTGTTCATTTTCAAATGTAAGACCTCAATACCTGGCTCATCTTCTGTAGCTACCACCAAAGTAACAGGTAAATCTGGGTCATTGAAAATTTTATCGTTGGGCTTAGACAATTTGATGTCCATATAAATTTCATTCTCAACAGCAGATTCACAAATCTCTGATCTAGTTTCATGATGGTTTAAACCTTCAAGGTGGTTGTAATTGTGTTCAAGTTTGATGTCCATGTATACTTCATTTTCAATTGGTTGATCTGAAACTTGACAATTAAGGACATCCAAGCTGCCATCAACAGACCCTAATTCAGGACTGAGACGTTTTTCTCTCTTAAGTTGAACTGAGCTTCCTTCTAACAGCTGATCAGTCTCATTTCTTTTATCAGCCTCAAGCAAACGACCCTCATTTTCCTCCAAAGATACTTCTTGTTGTAAACAGGGAACATTAATTTCTTTGTTTTTAGATTCAGATGTACACCATTTTTCTAAGGAGGTGAGCAATACATTTTCAGCTTTCACCACACAGTCCCAAAACCCCTCTAAAGAAATACTGGAATATTCAGATTCTGGTGTCACAGTCAGTTCAAGATTTTCAAATGATTCCTTGAAAAATTGCACCTTGTCAATTGATGAAGGCATCTTGTCTAAAAAGGATTTAGATATCGCAACTTTGGCCTTTTCGTAAACTAGATGAGTAGACATCTTGACATTCTGGAAAATTGAAAAAGGGTATCACAAAACACCGATCCAGTAACATAAACAGGTTAAGATAAGAGGACACTCACTAGGCTCATGAATCCCTGAATAGAAATAATAAATACTTCTTCACCGTGCAGTCCAAACCCCGAGGCTCATGCAGCATCCACAATGTATCAGAAAGACACTGTTCACAAGTTTGGGTTTACATTTTGTTAATTGGTGATCCGTTGTTTACTTGACAACTATACTAGAATCACTAGAACACTAGGTCGTCTGCTTCTGGGACGAAGTGGCGCCCTCTTGTTTGCACCCCTCCCTCTCCTATTATGAGAAACTTTTCATGCAAATCTGTTTACAGTTTTATTTTGTGTCCGGGAACTGCTGTCCAAACACAACAAAAGGGAATGTTGTTACTGCTTTCAGCTATAAACTGATGGTTCTTACTGTTTCTTTAGTGCAAAAGTTAACGCATTTAATTTTGTTTGGTATATAGTGTACTGGTGAGAACAATTACTAGAAGGTTGTGTTGTTGACAGGTGAGGTTATAAGGTACTCAACATGTTTAGTCTTTCATAAATTTTTTTTCTTAATGATTTTCAGCGGTTTTGACAAGTCGAAGCTTAAAAATCTGCCAAGATTAGCCGCCGACGTTTGAACCATGGATTGCTGTGCTCAGTGGCTCGACACTGGTTGAGCAGTTTTCTTTTGGGCGCATTAGCAGCTTTTCTACTTTGTTATTATGCTGTAAATAGTAAATCAGGTAATATTTTCTATTTTTAGATACTAACTGGGGACATTTAGGTGCTAATATTTTACACTTTACAAAATAGAGAATATTACTCAGAGAGATATTTAAAATGTTGCAGGAAACTCTAGTCACAGTACAGAGCATGATCCTATTCTATCTGGAAAACTTCACTCAATGGAAGTAGAGAATGATATTTTGAGGCGTCAACTTGACACATACAAAGAAGAGCTTGCGTCACACTTACAAAGTGAACCACCCATCAATCTTGCTCCTGATATTGTTCCCCAACAAGCAAATCATCATTCATCACCCTCTGCAACTTCTGGAGGACTTTGTGGTGACAAGGTGCTGTACTGCTTCAACTACTCATAGTACTATACTGTTGTAGACATACTCCCCTTGTGTTGCACTAGTGATACTAATATATTTTTTTTAATTTCAGGAAGCATACATACCTAAATGTGAAGTTGTACATGTGGCCATTGTATGCGCTGGCTACAACGCTAGCAGATCAGTGGTGACGCTGTTTAAATCTATATTGTTTTATAGAAGAAATCCTCTTCACTTCCATCTTTTGGCAGACTCAGTTGCTCAGATTGTTCTTCAAAAGCTATTTCAAACTTGGAACATTCCTCAAGGTGTCTACCTGTACTTCCATCAAACTGTGTTGATTTCTTATCCTAAAATGGTGTAAATTTGGTATAACTTTATAAGTTATATGTTTTATTTCAGTGGAGGTCAGTTTTTATCTTGCTGACAGTGTGGTACCTGATGTCTCATGGATCCCAAATAAGCACTATTCAGGAGTTTATGGTCTAATGAAACTTACTCTACCAAAAGTCTTACCTAGCAACCTTAAACGGGTCATTGTTCTCGATACTGATGTAACTTTTGCCACTGATATTGCTGAATTATGGAAAATATTTTCACAGCTTCGAGACAAACAGGTAATGATCAATTATCACAATTGGCCCTACATGGTCTCACGTGTTTTTAAAAAAAATAAAGAAAAAATAAAACTTGTACAATTTATAATGGTTTTTAAATTTACAGGCAATTGGTCTTGTGGAAAACCAAAGTGATTGGTACTTGGGAAAACTGTGGAAAAATCATAGACCATGGCCAGCATTAGGAAGAGGGTAAACCATTTTCAATTTATGAATTTTTCTTTTAAAGCTTTTTTGTAATGCATACTGTATTTACTCTACCGCAGGTACAACACAGGCGTTATATTACTTGAACTTGGGAAACTTCGTAAAATTGGTTGGGGACAACTGTGGCGTCTTGTTGCAGAAAAAGATCTAACAACATTACTGTCTACAAGTTTAGCAGATCAAGATATATTTAATGCAATAATAAAGACACACCCAGATCTAGTATATAACCTTCCCTGTCAGTGGAATGTGCAACTTTCTGATAATACAAGATCAGAGCTCTGTTACACTGAAGTTACTGACTTGAAGGTTAATACATGTGTAATTTTATTCATGTACTTCTTGTTTTGTTTGTTAAAATAACATCCATTAATATTTATTATTTTCTAACAGGTTATTCACTGGAATTCCCCTAAAAAACTCAAAGTAAAAAATAAACATGTTGAGTTTTTCCGGAACTTGTACTTAACATTTCTGGAGTATGATGGAAATTTACTTCGACGTGAATTATTTGGTTGCAATTACACCAGCACACAATCAGCTGTAAAGGAACATCAGCTTAGTATGGTACGACTGTTTTTAAAAGCATCTAAACTCCTTACATCTAATGTTTTGTGGTCAAATGCATTAGTTGAAGAGTTTGTTTTTTGTGTGTTCCATACAGCTTAATGAGGAGGACCCATGTTATGATTTACGCCGAGCTCAAGTTCGCTCCCTTCGCACGCACCTCTATTTCCTAGATTACCAATATGAACCATCTCCAGATGGAATTGATGTCACTCTTGTTACACAATTGTCCATGGATAGGTTACAAATGGTAGAGCTATTATGTCAACATTGGGAAGGTATATCAGTTACTGTTTTGTGTTGATTTAAAAATTAAAAAGTTGTCTTTAATCTAGAAACAAAATAATTCTCAGGTCCCATCAGCCTGACACTCTACCTATCTGATGCAGAAGCACAACAGTTTCTTTTGTATGCCTTAAGTTCTCAATTATTAAGTAGCCGTAAGAATATTGGATTTCATATTGTTTACAAGGAAGGAGTAAGTTTCGTTGATACCTGCCTGTTGTTACCTGCTTGTACCTGCCTGTTGTTAATACTTCAAAAATTTTGCTCTTCTTATTCTTTTTTCTAGAACTTCTATCCGGTGAACTTGTTGAGAAATGTTGGGCTTCAACAGGTTGATACTCCATATGTCTTTTTATCAGATGTGGATTTCTTACCAATGTATGGACTTTACCCAACTCTTAAAAAAGCCATTCAAGCACAAAACTTACAAAATGAGGAAAAGGTATGCAGCAGGCATAAGCTCAATTAGCTCCTAGTACTTCTAGCCTACGAAATTTAGATTTAGTGAAATTTTGATAATTTTTTTGTAGGCTCTTGTGATCCCAGCCTTCGAAACTCAACGATATCGAATCACCTTTCCCAAAAGTAAGGCTGAACTTCTACATATGTTAGATATGGGGACATTGTTTACATTTCGTTATCATGTGTGGACAAAAGGGCATGCACCAACAAACTTTGCAAAGTGGCGCACTGCCACAACCCCATACAAGGTACAAAACATTAATTATTCAGTGTGGATACTCCCCCTTGCAATGTTGATTTGAAGTAAATTAAAAGTAGCATTAGATTTAATGTGATGTGTACTTACAGGTTCAGTGGGAGCCAGACTTTGAGCCTTATATTGTTGTTCGAGCAAGTGTTCCTCAATATGACACAAGGTTTGTTGGTTTTGGATGGAATAAGGTTTCACACATTATGGAACTAGAATCACTTGGATTTCAGTGGGTTGTGTTACCAAATGCTTTTATGGTACACATGCCACATGCCCCAAGCTTTGATATTGCCAAGTTTCGAGGATCAAGTCAGTACAGAAGGTGAGATTACGTATATTTGGTATGAGTCTATTATTCCATCGTGAAGTAACTAATCCATCTTACTTGATTATTTTCCTTTTTTAAATTTACAGGTGTCTAAAAGTTTTGAAAAGTGAGTTTGTAAAGGATCTTAATAAAAAGTATACTAAGCACTTCATCATTGATCAGTAATGTGCCATCTGCTTCTAGTCAAGCTTTATTACTGTAAATGTATGCCACATCTATAGTATTTCATGTCTTACTAAATCAGTGGGTTGCAACAGCATTAATTACACTCATTCTGGTCTGAATTTTTAAACCCACTGTTTTCTTAAGAATTCTTCATTAATTTTTTTAAATTGTATTATAAACTTAACATTTGCCATGCAAGACTTAATGCCAAATATGTTTTAATCAAACATTGTTGATCTCCATCTTTCGTATTGTGTTGTTTCATTTCCATGTACCTTGATTTCTCATTTTTATAAAACTATTTTTTGATTTAAGTTCAACATATTTTGCGCCAGTCGTGGAGAGTCGTGAGAGTGAAATATCATATAGTTAAAAATTGCTGTTTCTTATTACAAATGCGGTCATTGTATTTGTTTCCTTGATACTCAGTGTGTATAATTTAGTGCGATCAACATATATATTGTGTTTATCAGAAATAAAAAGTATTAGTTTCCTAAGGAGCCTGAAGTCTTCATGTTCCTTATTCTCCTTCCCCAAAATTCCCGCCAATTTATCAGCCTTCCTTTGAAAATCTGGCAACCCTGTAAGGAAGTCGTAAATTTGTCATACCTGCAATGCGGAGGTGCCGTGACGTCATTGTGAATTTGACCAATCAGCATCCTTGGTTGGTGGTGATAAAAAAACATCGATTTTACAGTGTTGTTCGTGTTCGTAGCGTGTCGCGCGAAGTTTCCTTTCTTAATTGAAAGTATAAACGTTGATACCAATTTGTTTTATTTACTTCACCAGTTAACTGCAAAGTGAGTAACTTTCCCCCTTTTGCGAACCATATTGAATTGTTATGGTCGTGAAAATCCATCGCGGGTGGTGTGAAGCCAGTGCACGAGTGCTCAAGCCAGTTTCAAATATGGCTGCCTCTGCCTGTCTGTGAAGATAATATTGCCGTTCTTCAAATTATCTTCACATTAGCTGTTCACTGTTGTGTTTGGTATCGAAAAGTTGACATTTCTACCACTGTGCAATTGCTCAACGCAACAGTGAGTTTGATGACAAACCAAACCTCAAATCACACCTTCGTCATGTTCCCAGAAGTTTCGGCGGTTACCTTCTCTTCTTCGTATTCTCACGTTCAAACAACGTTTAAGGTTCTTATTACCTCTGTTCATCTTTACGTTTTAAGTTTCGGATGCTTCCTGTAGCAGGATTTTTTTCGCAACTTAATGGAAGTAGCTTAGATTTTACCATTCCGTGTCACTTTCTCGCTGAAAGTAGGCCCTTTGTCTTGAGCTAGGTTAGTTTGTCTTGTATATACATTTACAAGCAGCGACATACATGTCTTATTTTGTTATTACTTCTCCTGGTTTTGCTTTAGAAAATAACCAATGGATATAACTTTTCCAGTCCATTGATTATCAAAATTTGTATCATCTGCAATGTAGTTTTTCTCCTTTTGTTTATCTTCTGTGTCTAGCAAGATGTGTAGTAGGCCACCTACCTACACTACTTCAGTCAAACTGCTCACATATTTTATGAGCAACAGTGATACCTTTGTTGATATCTCTGTTGTTTTTCAAATCTCTCAAGGAATTTTGTAATCTACAATTTTCCTTTGTTTTTGTTTCTAGATGCCTCGAAGTAGAAGGCACCACTCCAAGAGCTGGTCTCGCAGCAGAACTCGGTCTAGGTCTCACTCAAGATCTCGGAGTCGCTCCCCTTCCTATTCCAAATCAAGTTCACGGGAAAGAGCCCTGAAACGTCATCGCCATGTTGATGCCACTGACAGTCCATACAAAGCATCATACAGGTAAGGAGCATTAAGAAACTATTACAACATAAGTTGCAATAATGCTACAAGTCCCAGAGGATAGTATTTTTGTAACCCACCAGCTGACTACTTAATGAAGGTCCTATATTGAAATCTAAAATTTTATGAACAATTAAGGATTACCAGTTTTCGATGCTGTTACATGGTAATAGCATTCTTAAAAACCATGGGCCAACGATTGCTGGCGATTCCCCAGATTTTAGTGTTGCTTGTTTTGCACCCTCTGTTGAATACGAACTGATTTTCCCATTCCGTCGGGTTCTCGTACTGTACGCTGGAGCAAGCAAAAGTGAGCGATCTTCCAGTGCAGTCACGCCGTTGCCTCGCGGAGTAGCGGCGCGGGGAGGGGGAGGAGGGAGTGGGGCGCCGCGGGGCCCGTCCTGCTAGGCCCATGGCCCGGCGCGGCCCCAGTCGCAGCCTGGCCACTGGAGGGAGAGGAAGGGGCCAACTCCAGAGGAACTCTCCTCCGGCGGACGACGACTGGAACTTCAGGGATATCGGGACGACTCTCCTCGCGGAGAATGTTGTGTAGTGTGTGTCGCAACGCTCTGTAGCCATGAGGATCGCAAGCAGCTCTTCGTCGTCCCTCTCGTCCGCGTCGGCCTCCAGCACCGGCTCGGCCTCGAGCCCCAGTGCGGCCTCCAGCCCGAGCGCGGCCTCCAGTCCCGGCGCGGCCTCCAGCCCCAGCTCGGCCTCCACCTCGGTGGGGGCCTCGGGCAAGGGCAAGTCGGCCTCGGTCTCGGGGCGCGAGCGGTGCCCCACGGCGGACAGTGGGTTTGGGTAAGCCGCATCACCTTCACCACGAAGAAGATCACATGTCCTGCTGTCGAGCCAGCGACGCCAGTTATTTGCAACGCCAATCCTGTTATATATGCGACCTGTAGTGATGGCTTTGTGCCGTCGACCGATCATGTGAGGGACGTGAACGCCATGTCTAATCTGTGCACTTCTCCGAGATAGGCCGTGAGGCTTGTGTGCAACTTATCTGACGGTGCCTTGGGCCCGTGCCGGTGGGCGTGCTTTTATCTGCGGCGTTGGCGGTCAGGGTCGCGCTGCCTGCCTGGCCCGCTCGGCCCGCGCCCCGCAGGGACGCCGACGCCCCGCTCGTTTTGAGCTATCGTCTTGATTTATATAGCGCTCCAGAAATTTGGCGGAGCGCCGCGCACCGCTCCTCGGGGGCCCGGCTGGCTCGCCGGCTGGCACGGGGCCGGCCGACCATTCGTTGGGATTTTTACGAGTCGTCTAAGAGTGTGTGTGTCTGTGTGTGAGAGTGAGCCTTCCTGCCGAACTGTCCCGGAGGGACTCGCGGCACTCTCTCGGCCGTGCCCGCCGTGCCATCCTCCGTGACCCCCGTTGCGTCAGCCCGAACGGCCGGTCCCCCGCCGGCAACTTTTCCCCGGCCCAAGAGCCTGGGCGCGGTGGGTCGGGCCGCCTCCTGGACCAGGTCCGCATACCGGCGGGCAGAGGAGTCACGGTGGTCGGTCGAGTCATTCACTCTATGCCGGGGGGCCCCGACGCGACGCCCAGCCTGGGGCCTGTCCAGTTAGTGACTGCCGTAGGTCGCACCCGAGGCGGGGCTAAACAAGTGACCGTTACTACAACTCGATTTCTTGACAAGGAACGTTGTATGGGCCCCCCGCTGAAAGTATGGAGCTCAATGGAGTAGAAGCAAGCTCGTTTCAGTAGATAAAAGTATACGTGATCGAGAGAAACTCGTGAATCACCCCCTTCTTAAAACCCCTAGAAATTAAAATTTAACATATTTTCATTTTTTTTTTGAAATCTTTTTTGGATTACTCAAGCATTTCTAAATTTTGCAGTTAATTCGAGGTTCTGCAGAAATCGTCCCGCCGACTTTTAAATGGGCCATTGCCCATTGACGTCGGTATCTCAATTACTTTGTTTCCTTGGTCTTTTACCACGGACGTACTTGGATACCGAGCCCACGTGCCTAGTCTACATGCGAATACTAATTGAAAACCTACGTCACGACGTTCGAAACTTTTTGCTACACACCGAAAGTGTTCAGGCCCGTGCCAGCCTGTATCTTCCACTCAGTCCGATTTCCGAGGCCAGCGTTCACACGCTGCGCAAGAAAGGCATTTCATTTGTTGAGAAGTCTTGGTTAAAAATTTTATTTTCTCTCGATCACGGCGCTGTTTGAAATTCTCACTATTCCTCCAGGGAATCGAGTTGTGAGGAATGTTGTTCATAAATGGGCGCCGGGGAGTCGCGTGTCGACCGGAGGGAAGCCCTGCTCGTCAGCCCCGTGTGGGCAGCAGGGCACGGCGGCGAGGTTGGCAGGTCGGCGGTCGGCCGTAGTCTTTGCTCCCGATTTATCGCTCTGGAGGCAGGCGAGGCGCGTCCGGTGCGGAGCGACGCGACACTCCCCAGGCTCCCGCCACTGACAAGGCTCGCTCGCCGAGCAGAGCGGTGATATTTTATCGACTCTTGTCCTTGCCGTGCGCCCTACGCGCCGCCGCTCCGTCGCGTCGCCTACGACGAGCTGCTGGCTGGGATGCACCTGGTCCAAACGCTTCGCAATCCAGTCGGGAGCTTGGCGGGGCTTGCGACATCAGCGCTTTGGCTGGGCGAGCCTGCGCACGGCCTACCTCAACACCTTGCCGCTGCTCGCGCGCTCCGCCCTGCGCGTGTCTGGCGAGCGAGTCCTTGGCTCGAGCGGCCCGAGCTTAGCGGCGGAGACGGGCGGGGCTCGATACAAGTGCAGATAGAGCCTTACCTCCCACTGTATCCGGCGCCGAGGAGCTTAGAGGGGAAGGGGTTGGAGGAGAAGGGAGGCGGTGAAGTCGTCGTGCTGCTGCTGCTGGATCGGTTTCCAGTGGCTCCACGTCGCTCCGCCCATCCTAATGCCCGCATACAGCATCGGTAATTTCGCTGAGATTTGGACTAATGATTTCTTTTGTTTTCTCCGCAGGTATGTGGTTTATTGTTGACGACGGGTCGGGTCCGTCGGGTCATGATGGGTGAAAATGGGTACTATCAAGACGAGCCGCAAAGGTCGGGTTTATTCTGTTTCTTTTAACCGGTGGGAGGCAGTTTGGCGGGAATGTGTTAATGAGGCTCGGCACTTTTTACGAGGCTGTGATTTTCTTGTGATAGTAGGCGCGTTGTTTGACGCGACGGGCGGGGCGTGTGCCGGCCGTTTTAGTTTCTCTTGTATCTGATCGGCGTGAGTCGCCTAATGGATATCTAATAGAGTGGGAATATACTATGACTAAAAAACATCGAAGCATTTCGTAACATTTTATAGGGATAGCGTTAGAAACGGTGGCACAGTTTGTGAACAGAACAGTGTTTTTTTTAACTTATAAATAAAAGGTGTGTCTCTTTAAAAAAATGACGTCTGGACAGGATCTGGACGTCCACACCAAATTTCCATGGCGCGTGTTGTCTAATCCATTGCATTCGGTGCACTTCCCTCCCTTTTCCCCCCCTTTCTTTCTAGAACGACCGCGAAGAAGACTTTGAAAATCACAGCGTGCTCGCTAGTTACGTTGCAAGTCGAGAGCCTCGACTGGAGACTCTGCTCGTAATTCGATAAGCTGAAAAATAAAGACCGTGTGGAGAGAGATCATTTTGCTCCGCGTTTTATTGCACGCCATTTGTCAAAACGTGAACTCGTCCGTATGGCCGCGCGGAATGGGCCTGTGTTATAGTTGGCGGGCCTGTCGTGGCGCCGCCGCCGTAACCGTCGCATCCCAATCGGGCGCCGCTGCTCTCCACCGGTCTCTCATCCGGCTCGATAGGCTCGCTCCTGAGCGGGGAAAAGCTAACTAAACCCGTTGTCAAATGGGCCAATAACCCATGATGTATGCTATTGGCTATGGCGAATATGGGCACTCCTTTCGTAAATTTAAAACGCTGGGAGATTTGAGCTCTGATGCGATAACTCTGTGCGTGTGGCGAGCATTCAAAGGTTGCCGCGATGCTCTCCGCGCGGCCGCGCCCGGCCAGCAGCTGAGGTTCTTGTCCCCTTGTGGGGTCGGCGGGAAGGGGCGGGGCGGGGAATGGGGCTCGCCACCGGCCGGCTGGACTGCATTCTTGGCTTTGCACCGTGACGTCACGGGCGGCCGGTTTGGTAAGGGCTCGGCCGATCTGCCGCATCCGTCGATCTGGCGGCTGAACGGCTGCTGTAGCGCCAAAAACTTGTGAGCGGCAGCTGATCCGTCCGAGGGAGAGGGGGGCGGGGGGTCGGTCCTCGACGCTCGGTGACCCTGAGCGGTCGAGGGTCGGGTTCCGTAACCACCCTTGCGCGCTACCTCACCCGCTGCCTTATTATTACGTTCGCTCCCCTCGCGACTGAAAAAAGAGGGTTGTCGGGATCGATTTTCTTTTCTCTCTCACTCTTTCCTTCTTTGCCGTGTTTGTCGTTTTCTTGGGTGTCGCGGCCGTGCGTGCGTGCAGTGAAGGCGGGGAGCGGGGTTGCCCGAGGCTCGGCCGCGGCTCGGCTCGCCCGGGGCGGCCGTCGAGGAGTCCTTGGCCGAGGCCCCTCTAATTGGTTTAGCAGCGCGCCGGCCGCGGCCGCGTGTAGGCCGACGACAGGGTCGTTGATTCGAGCGGCGAGGCTGGACTTGACGGAAGAGACGCTTGCCCGTGTGTCGATGGATGGATTGACGGGGAAGCTGCTGCCGCCGCGCCGCGCGTCTCCTCTGTTTTGTTCCGCGGTGGCGTGGCGCTGCGCGGCGCGATGTCGGTGCGGATAATTCGGGGCGCTATCGCCATGGGTGTATCTATCAGGGCGCTTTCGCTCTCGCCCCGCGATCCGTACTGCGCGGCCGGCACCCTGCCAGGGAATGCCCGCCTTCCCTCTCCCTTCGTGCCCCTTTGTTATGCCAGTGACATAAGTGCCAACGTTTGCAAAGCGGTGGAAATGGTCGCCGCCGGGCCCGGCGGCTGGCTGCGACCGGGAGGCTGCGTTCCGGACGGCCGGCCGCCGGGTCGCCGCGGCGCCGCGGCCGGGGCCGCCCGCCTCCGCGGGGGGCTGCCTCCGGGCCGCGTGTCCTCGGCCAGGACGGCGACGGGCGTCCGCGGATCTCGCCCAGGTTGGCAGACCTGGCTGCGTCCTGGCCGCCCAGGGCGTCCGTGTGCCGCCATTGAGCTTGGCGACAGTGCCTGGTGCGGGGCATTGGAGGAGGCAAGCTGGCGAGCAAGCCGGCGTGCCGGGCCTGCGGGGCGGACACCGCCGCGACAACGGGGAGCTCGAAGGCGGGCAGGATGCTGCTGTGGCTGCGACGGGCACTCCTCCTGGGCCTCTCCTTCTGGTGCGCGCGTGAGTCGGCCCGCATGTGCACGCGTGTGTGTGTTCGCTCTGCCCGTGCCCTGTCTAGGTCACGGCGCAGAGCGGGGCGGGCTGGGCCGCGGCCGCGGACGCCCAGTTCGAGTCGGAGATATTTTTCAGCGTTTGAAAAGTGGTTTGGCCGGACTCGCGCTTCCTCCGCACGCGGACGGGCAGCTTGCTGCTGCAGCGCGAGGCTCTTAAAGCCCACGCCCAGCGCCACTGCAAGCGAGCCGCACTGCAACAGAGCTAGTGTGTGCGCGACGGGGAGGGGCAGGGCGGAGGCGGAGAGCCTCGCGCGGAGAGCGCGGCGGCGTGTGAGCCTGCTGAGAAAGGGAAGACGGGATTAGGAAGAGGACGTCGGGGACGGGGAGGGAGCGGCCGGGTTGTCTCCTGGGGGTTACTGCTGGGAACCTTGTCCTCTCCCCCCCGTAAAACAATCCCATGGCAGCAGTGCCGCGCGCTCCAGCGGGGGCAGGCTGCCGTACAAGGGGCGCGGGCGGAGCGGGCGGAGCGGGCGGGGGTGCACCGCGGGCACGGGCAAGACGACGGCCTCCTGCTCTAGCGCCGCGCGCAGCGGAAGTTTATGGAGTGCATTTGGAGCGGGTCGGGTCGGGCTTGGCCGGTCAGCTGGGGCGAGGGTCCATTAGAGCTCCCTTGGAGGAGGAGGAGGAGGAGGTGGCGGCGGTGGGAGGTGGAGGGAGTGGGCTGAGAGGCGGAATTGCACCCTTCTATTCGGCTGAGTGGTCGTAAACGTCCGGAGCGCGCGATGTGGTTGGTTGAAGTCACTGGTTCGAAAACCGAGCCCTTGCCTTACTGCCCTTTTTGTTTGCCTCTTTGCTGCGGTCGATTCTAACGAGCAGCGGCCCGCTTCCATTAGCAGCCGGGCTGCTGCTGCTCTGCTGGCGAGAGCCTGACCTAGGCGGAGCAGTGACCGACCCAGCTCGACCCGCGGGCCGGGCCGAGCCGAGCGAGGCCGTGCCGTGAGGAGCGTGGCGGGGCGGGGCGTAGTCAGTACGCCACCGCCCAACCAAAGACGCTGTCCGGCCTCTCTTCCGGGTCACTTGACTTCCACTTCGTCGTCGCCGCCGCCGCCGCCTAATTTCGCCCCGCCATACTTCGTCGGCGTCGGGTTGTCGGCCGGCTCGGCCCGCCCCGCCCCAGGAGAGGAGCTGGGCTCGAGCGGGGCGGGGCGGGCAGGTGCCATTGCCAAGGCCCCGTGCACGCGTCGCCCCATTGCTCAGCCACGGTCGTACACCACCACCACCACTGCGGCCGCCAGAATAGGGGCGGCGGCGCGCGCCGTCCGGTCCAGGCCAAAAATCCGCGAGACAGACACACACACACACCCGCGCGCGCGCGGTTTATTGTCGCGAGGAGAAAACTGCTGCGCGTATTCAGTTTCATTGAGCGACAAGCGGTTCGGTGTGAGGAGGTGCAAGCAGTGTGGTGGTGTCGGTCGGTCGGTTTGGTGGGTGGGTGCGACCCGGCTGGGACCACCACTACACGGGGGGCCGTAAAAGCGGCGCGGCTGATGCTCGAGAAATTCGGCCGAGGCTCGCGTCAATAAAATGGTGATCGCGGACATGTGTCACTCTGGTGCCGCGCCTTCTAGGTCCTCCCGGCGTGCGCCTACGAGGTTAGAGGCGAGGCGGACCACGACGCGGATGCCCCCTTTCCGTGATTACTGCCGGGCTACGGCCGTGTAAATCACTTCTGCGGCCGAATTAGCCGCAACGATGCCGGCAGTGGCCTGCTGCTGTCCGCCGCAGGCTCGCGGGGCTGTCAGCTGTTTCCCCATCCTCCCCGTTTTCCCCCTCCCGCGCCTCTCCGGCCGGCCGCGATGGCTCCGGCGTCGGCAGCCCCGGGCTGGGCTGGGTCCATGTAAGGCGGGGGCAGGTGCGCGCCTCGACGTGTGTTTGTGTGTGTGTGTGTGTCGTGCGCTGGGCAAGGTCAGGGCCCAGGGCCCCCAACAACCTGCAGGCCCCCCAAGGGCTCGAGCTGCAGCGTGCACGATATGGTGTGGGTTGCAAGGCACAACCAAAGGTATCGTGTCGTCGCGAAAGAAATGGTGCAGGACGGGAAGTCTCTGGCGACACTCTGCCCAGCGAAGCGTGTCGTAGCGGTGCCTCCCTCCGGCCCGCGGTGGCGGCTCCCGCCTCCTTCCTCGCCATCGACGGCTGGCTTGGCTTCCTTCCCGATTGAAGCGCTGGCTGGCTGGCTGGCTGTCCCGGAGGCTGTCCCGTTGTCACGCTGGACACCACACTCCAGTTTTCTCCCCACGCGACGGCGGCAGTTGTCACGCCGATGGATGGATAGACGGACAGACGGACTTCTGTATGCGGAAACGGTTTTTTGGGTCGTTCGTGTATCACTTTGTTATTCCCGTCGATTGCGCCGCTCTGTCCGGCGCGTTCCTGCTGCTCTCGCGGTTATCGCGCTCGGGCGCTCTGCTGCCCTTCCCCCCGCCTCGCCACGCCGCGCCACGCGGACGTTAGCGGGAAAAAGCGGGGCGACGCGCGTTGGCTTTGCTTTTGCGGGTCTCGGACTGTGCGGGGCTGGGCGGGGCCGCCGCGGGAAGAGCGAAGTGAAATGACAGTCCGCGCGGCCCGGTGCGACGAGTGAGTGCGCGGGGCGTTGCGCGAGGTCGGGTCGTGTGTGTGTGTGTGAGTGTGAGTGAGTGCGCGCTGCGTGCGATGCGACTCCCCGCCACGCCGGCCGCGCCGCACTCAGCCTTGTCCGTCATGAGGCGCGTTGGCGGCGCCCCGCCACGCCCCGCCCCGCCGGACACGCGTCCGTTTTGACGGCTGCGCCGTGCGGCCCGACCCGTCCGTCGGCCCGGCCGGCTTTTGCACGAGTTTCACTTTGCGGGTGGCGGCGGCGAGTGCACTCGTGTTTTACTCGTGTGTGTGTGTATGCGAGTGAGTGGTGCGCCCCGCCGACAGCGCGACGTGGTGGTGGGCGGCTCACACTGCAGTCGTCTCTGATGCAGCGCGACGGGTCGGTAATTAAAAGTCCCGCACTCGTCTGTCTCTCCGTCCGTCCGGGATGCTTGATGCAGACGAGCGTGTGTGTGGTCGGGACGGGCGGGACGCTGCTGCCCCCCCGGGACGCCGCCGCCGTGATGATGAGAGTGTTGCTCCCCGGCCCGGACGGACGGCCGCCCTGCCCTTGGGACCTTGGGTGCCGCACGCCACGCCCCTCCGCTAATTCGCCTATTCATTCCCTGGCCTGGCTGGCACTGGCTTGGTCAGGGTGTTGTTGGCGGCGGTGACGTCCGCCTGGCTGGGCCCCCGCGGCCACATGGCCCCCTCCTCGAGTGAGGCGGCCTGGCCCGACCGCCCGCACTGCTCTGCCTGCCTCCTGGTGGTGGCCAGGTCGCGGCGGCGGCGGGTTCGTGTTGGCCAGCTGCTGCTGCTGTGCTTGCCGTGCGATTGGTCAAGGTTGCCCCAGTTTGTTGGTGTTGGTCGCCGCTGCCGCTGCTTGTCCCTAGGATATCCTTAAGGATATCGGGTGGGCGGCGCTCTCTGGCCGGCCGGCCGGCCCCAGTATAACCACGCCTAATGAGGCCGCAGGAAAAGGGGGGAGAAGGTGGGGGGGATGTCCGGGACAGTTTACGCCTTTTCTGGATCGCGTCGGCCGCCGCGGCGCTCCGACCGGGGTGAACCGACGACGCCCGACGTCATCCTCGCGACCTGCAGAGAGCTCAGGGCGGCCTCGTCTGCCCTGGCCGGCCGCCCCCTCCGCGCGTGGTGTGGGATGTCGCGTGGCAGCGATGGCACTTTTATCCCGTTCCCATCGCGTGGTAGTTGAAAACATTATGTCAGATCCGCCTGCCACTGCCAGAGCGGCCGTTCGGTGGTGCCCCGATTTTATTTTCATTTTATTTTTTATGGTTTCCACTATGAACCGTCACGCTACGACTGCCCGCTACGGTTTATTCGCTTTACACGGAGGGAGGGGGCCATGGAGAAAAGGTGACGGAGAGCGTGCCCCAAGACCAATTTTGGAAGGTGGGCCGGCGCGGGAGCACAATACGTAAGTGTCCGCGCCCGGAAGAAAGCGAAAGGGTGTAACGCAATGGCGCTGCGTTGCGGGACGGGCGGACGACGGACTCTTGACGTCTCGGAGGTCGTTTGCCGAATGTCCTCCCACGGCGCTTCGCGATACGCGCAGACTCGCCGTCCGCTTTTAAAATACGCTGATGAATGGCGGGGGCGCCTGCTGCTTCGCCCGGTGAGCGGGGCGCGTCACGCGCCGCGACTCCGCGCGCGCTGAGTGATGTGATGTCACTTTCACTGGCGGGGCCGGGCGGGGCGGGGCGCCCGGTATCTGAGCGAATCGCTTAGCAGCCCGCCCGCGGGGCGTTGCATAGCATTGCGCGGTCTTGCGGGGGCGCGACGCACCGCCCGTCCTGCGGGGGACGACGACGACGACGGAGAAAGCGCCCGAGGTCGCGCAGGGTGGGCCGCCCGCCGCGCGCGCCAGCCGTGCGTGCCCGCCGGCGGCCTACCTCCCAGGCGGTCTGAAGGCAGGCGCGCCTAGGCCACCCGCCGCGCCCAGGAGCATTGCATGCCTCCCGGCGGCCTACCTCCCAGGCGGTCTGAAGGCAGGCGCGCCTAGGCCACCCGCCGCGCCCAGGAGCATTGCATGCCTCCCGGCGGCCTACCTCCCAGGCGCGCTCTCAGGTCGCCCGCTGCTCGCAGCAGGAGCAGTTCTTGCCCGCCGGCGGCCCACCCCCCAGGTGGCCTTGGCACCACCGCTGTTGACCCCACTGTTCCGTGTCTGACAGGTGTATCTTTTTTGTTGCAGCAGTGAGAGGGCACAGCGGTCTCGTCGGCATGAGCGTGGCACGAGCGCCGAGCGTCGCTACAAGCGCTCGCACCGCCGCTCGCCCACCTCCCGCTACCGACACCACCACGAGGACCAGCACCGGCGCCACAGCAGGCACCGCGATGACCACCGGGAGCGGGACCGCGAGCGGGACCGGGAGCGCCGCGAGCAGGAGCGCACCAGGAATGCCGAGCGGGAGCGCGACCGGGAACGGGAGCGGGAACGCGACCGGGACCGTGAGCGGGAGCAAGAGCAGCGCAACAGGAACCGGGAGATGGCGGAGCGGGAGCTCGACCGCCTGCGCGAGAGGGAACGTGAGAGGGAGCGTGACCGGGAACGAGAACGAGACCGGGAGCGCGACCACCATCACCACCACCACCACCGCCGCTCCTCCAGTCGGGTGAGTAATCGCTCCCCGGGCGGGTGCCTCCAGACGCCCCGCCTGTCGGTGAGACTAGCCTTGGCCATCTCCTCTCCCTACCATGTGGCCCATGTCTCACACAGTCGTCTTTGGTTTATCACTGTCCTGAGCAATTTTTTTTTAAACAAAAAAGGTGCTAATGCCTTGTTTTGATAATAAAATGATTTTTTAAGCAAATCATTTCAAATAGGTCATAAGTTAAGGCATGGAAAAGAGAACAGAGTTTGGTATAAATCCACACCATGGTAGCACGCATGTTAGATGATAAACGCTTGTTTTGGGTATAGGTTGGAGGGGAGTGGGAGGGAGCAGCAGGTGTTAGATTATAAACTTCTTTTTGGTAGAGATGGGGAGCAGCAAAGGGGGGGGGGGGGGGGCTCAGGTGTTAGCACCCAGCAGCGAATCTTTCCTCATTATTGTCTCTCAATGTTCACGGAGGTGTGAAATGCGATTGGTCCTGTGGTAGTAGACAAAGCATGCAGAGTGAGGGCCGTTTGCGATTGACCATTGCTGCGGTGCATTGTGGCTTTGCTCGTACCGCTGCGTGTGTGTGTGTGTATGTGTGTCTGCATAGTTGCGTGCGTGGGCCGGGAATGCACGGGGTAGCTCAAGGATAGCTCGCGATATGCCGCTTCCATGCGCTGCTGCGCGGCCGGGTTAGTTTCTCCTCTTACGTCGCCAACTTTTGTCGCCTACTGTCCCGAGCGATGCTCTTTATCTTTGCAGGCCGTAAAACTTGTAATAGGCGCAATACAAGGTGAGGAAAGATCGAGCGTTTTGTTGGGGGGAGGGGGGGGGGCAGATGATGATGATTATTGGTTGTATAGTGCTCCGCGCGACCCATTTTGCAGTGCATCGCGCCCTTGCTCGGGGGGGTTCGGCCCCGTCGCGGTGCAGGTCCTCGGCTCACTCCGAGCTCACCCTGGGTTTGAACCGCGTGGACGCGACGGCGCGACTGCCCCGCGCGACTGTCGCCGTGTGAGGTGTCCCCCTTTATTCTCACCCGACACTCTGCCGCCACAGAATGTTGCTTAGGTCGCGCCGTCATACCGCACCACGGCCTGCTCGTCTGCGTGACGTTGCCGCCGGCCAACCTATAAAGCATTTGCGTCTCGACGTGCCGAGCCGGGCCAGGCCAGGCCGGGCCGCCACTTTATGCAATGAGCGCTTGATCGGCCCAGGGTTTATCTCGTGTCAGGCGGGTCCGGCGGCAGGGACAACGGTCGGTCAGGCGTGCGGGCCGGTGCACGTGCACGTTCACGTGGTGGGGGCCGTGCACGCCCCAGGCCGGAGTGTGTGAACGTGCACGGAAGCTATTCCTGGCGCGCGCTCGCGAGCGGGCCTGGCGGACTGGCGGACTATTTCGGTGGCCGGTGACGCTGTGCTGCAGGCCGGCCCTCTCCCGCCCGGCCGTGGGTGCCGTTTGGCGGCGGGGCCGGGCGTGTTGGTTGTACGCAGGCAGAGCGGGGCTGCTGGGCGGCCTGCTTGGCCAGTGCTATGCGTCCCTTCGGGCCCGTCGTCCATCGGGGATGGCGAGCCAAGCGAGCCCCAGTCAGCGCGCGCTGAGGAGCCCCCGCGGGCCGGCCCTGCCCGCCGTGCATTCGCCGCGGCGCCCCCAACCCGTGGACCCCGTGTTCCCGTTGGACCCGCTGGCCCTGCCGCTGGGGCTGCCGCAGTCGGCGCCCAACTCGCCGCACCAGGTGAAGGGTGACTTCCTGTGGCTGGGCCACTCGTGGGGCGCGGTGGGCGGGGCGCCGTTCGGCCGACGCCTCCAGGAGAGCCGGTACCAGCCCTTCGGCGCGCCGCCGGCTACGTCCCCAACGTCCCCTGCGCCCCCGGCGCCCCCGCAACCCGTTGCCATGCCGGACGCGGCTAGGCTGGACCGCGAGCGGGACTGGGAGCGCAGGGCGCGGAACCACTACAACTACCACCACCCGCTGGTCCACCAGCGCGCCTCCCTCGACGGGCACCTGCCGCGCAGCCCGCACCACGTTCACCACCACCACCACCGCGACGGGACGCAGACCGTGACCTTGACGGCGGAGCTAGGGCCTCCGCTGCTGCCGCCGCCGCTGCAGCAGCATCAGCTGACTGATAAGGAGGTGCCGGCCGGCGCAAGGTCGGCCGGCCCGTGTCCCTCAGTGAGCGGCGACCCGTCGGCAGAGGCGTCCGCCCTGGCGTCCGCGCGCACCCCGCCCGTGCCGCCCGTCAAGTTCTGCGCGTCCTCCGTCAAGGCGCGCCTCGAGTCGTCCCCGTCGTCGCGGCCTTGCTCTGGGCCCTCGCCCACCCCGACCCCAACGCCGGCCGCCACACCGCGGCCCGGCAGCGACCAGCCCGAGCGTGCCGAGCTGCGCTACGAGCCGCCCGCCGTGGTGTGCAGCCTGGAGCTGCTGGAGCCCGTGCTGGAGCCGCTCCGCAGTGAGATCGTGTTCCACACGTCGCCGCTCGCCGACGGCCCGCCCTCCACCAGCGCCGACACGAGCAAGGCTCTGGAGGCGCTCGATGAGGCGACGCAGAACCTACTCCATGACTCAGAGCCGCTGCAGCAGCAGCCGAAGCCCGCCGAGATGCTGGAGCCTGTGCTCTTGAACGTGCAATACTGGCCGGGTGGCTCGGGCGGCCCCCAGCGTGCGGTCCACCACCTGCCGGAGCCGCTGCAGGCGCCCCAAAAGGCCAGTCCCACCTACCAGCAGCGGCCGCAGCAGGCCAGCCCGCTGCCCGTCCTGCCGCCGCCGCCTCCCTCTGGGCCGGCGCCCCCGCCCCCGCAGCCCCACTGCGACAGCCCCGTGTACCAGGAGCCCTTCCAGGGCCCGCAGGAGGCCCGCGAGGAGAGCCCCGTCTACGCGCAGCCCTACCGCCCTTCGCCGGCCACCCACCGGACTGAGGTGGTCATAAAGTACGATGAGGGCCCGCCCATCTCCGAACACTTCGAACGGACCTGCGTCACCGGCCCCCGCCACGAGGACGACGGCGAGCAGCACAAGTCCAGCCGACTCGTCCCCATTCAGGACCTGTTCCGGGGCAGGAAGGAGAACAGCCACAGCTTGACGCGTCGGCTTATCCCGTCTGCGCCGAGCTCGGAGGACGACGCCGGCGTCCTCCAGGGCAGCCCCACGCTCAAGACCCGCAGCGTGCACCACCACCACCCCGCGCACCGCCCGGCACTGCCCGCTGTTGACGTCCGGAGCTGCCTCAACCTGATGGCCTGCCGCCTCCCGCAAAACCAGCAGTCCCTGGAGGAGGACGCCGAGGCCGAGCGCAACGACGACGAGGAGGCCGTTTTAGCTTCCGCCTGCACTGTGCCACCCCCGAACCTCCCGATGCCAACCCTCCCGCCGCCGGCCCCGTCACCCGCACCTTCCTCGACGACTGGCCCGCTTCCGACGACGCCGCTGTTCCAGCACCGCCGCCTCTCGGCCCCGGCCCCGCTGTCCTCGCCGGTGGCGTCCGCGGTGCCGCAGATGGCGGTCGTCCAATCGTCGTGGTGGCCGGTGGTGCAGCCGTCGCCCTCCCCGGCCTGGAACTGGGCCGCGACGCTCCCCGTGCCCCCGCCCC